CACTATATGGTATATGGTTGATCTTGGTGTCAAAATGCACAGAAATATATAGCCAAAAAAAAAAAATAATAATAATATTGAAAGCCCTCATAATCAATTCTTGACTTTAAAAATTTAGGTCAAAGGTCAAAATGTCAAAAATGGTAGTTTTTAGTCACTAAATTGGCATAGGCCTATATCATTTTAAAATATTACAATGAATGGGATTTCAACTTATTTGTGTAGGAATACATACTAGGATACACCAAAATAAAGTCAGAGTGATAGGATTTGAGAAATTACTTTTTTGGGGTTAAAGGTCATTGACCCAACCTAAAACACTAAATATGTATCTTGGGAACACTTTAAAATATATGGTTGATTTTGGTGTCAAAAATGCACAGAATAATACAAAAGCAAAGAAAATAATATAGAAGGACCCTCATAACCAATTCAGTACCGGTACCTCAAAAAATTAGGTCAAATGTCGAAAAGTTAAGAATTGTTATAGTAATCGATCTGGATCAATATTGCAACTGGCTGCTTTCTTATGAAATTTCAGTTAACAAGCAATTCCAATAAGATTATCCCCACACCCATATGTTATCTGCATTGTTATCCAGCGTTTCGGATTGTGAATTCAGTTGACTTGAAACTTGCAAATGCTGTTATAACCCTAGTAGGGTTGTTGCATTTGTAAAGAGCACATTTGATATGTCCATAAATGCTGGAAACGGTGTCATTTCCAGACCAGACATTTGGGTAATATGCCCGTTATTCAATAATATAGGATACCGTTTCCAGCATTTCTGGACATCAAATGTGATCTTTTTGGACATATCAAATTGTGAGGTGTAGCTGCATTACAAGTGGAATATCATGTGTTTCTGCTTGTGGGGTTTGCTATGGACATTGTTCAAATGGAGTGCTTGCAGACGAAGTTAGTGATGAAGAGGAATGAGGAGAGGAAGCCGACTAATTTAGATACTTATTTGTTAAAGATGTACTGTCAGACAGGAAAATACCTCCAAAATTTACATAAAATTATGAATAGTTTACTTAAAGTGATAAAACAGAAATATTTGCTTCCAATGAAAAATAGATCGAAAAAGTAGTTTTACTTATTTACAAACATTAAAAAAAATCCTTAAAGTAATCCAATTTATGGATATATATGCAAATGTATACAGAAACTGTCCAAAAATTGAGGGGTGTTTTATTTTTTTTTATTCAAATTTTTAATTTGAAGTTAATAACTTGCCTAAGTATACAAATTCAAATGTGAAATTAGAATTTTCGTTTTCATGACTGATAGTAGGCCTACAACAGCGTTCCGCAAACATTTTACTTCACGGAATATTTACGATTCCAGGCACCAACCAAAATCTTTCAAGAAGGTTTGATCATGAAGCCTCCATATATATAATTAACACAATACTTTGTCATCATTATCTGTTCTCTCAGTACCAAATTAAGCCCTCCTCTGCCCTCCTCTTTCTTTTTTGATTTTTTTTTATGGTTCGGGCAGAAAGGAATAAAATAAAATAAAAATAAAATAAATAAATAAAATAATAGTAATATAGTAAAGGAATAATACGGTACCGTACACTTTTGTTTTCCTCCGACGAATATTAATTATTTTTTCTACAATGATTCAACAGACCACCGTTCAGCCACACGTCGTACAGTAGCTTTCTCCTTCTTCCAAAAACTTTCACACACACTGATTCAGTCACTGGCGGTCATCAACTGCAGGGGCGGCGCTAGCGGGGGACCAGGGGCAAGGACCCCCGTCACTATCGCGATCGTATGGGTTGTGTTGGTAGCGCCAGATCTTCCCAGACAGGGGGCTGGTACCACGTCCCGACAGGTGGTTAGTACCCACGACAGGGGCCTCTTAACCTGCATGATTTTCTATAAAATTATTCTTTTTAAATAAAGAATATATACCATCAACACAATTTTCCCCAACGAATGAAGGAGGAAGGGGTGCTAGGCTTCGCCGACGATGGGAGGGGATTGTGGAACCCATGTCGGGGAGCTTGGACCCCTCGTCAGGGAATTCCTGGCGCCGCCCCTGATCTACCGTCGCGCTTTTGTCACACCTTTCATTTGTAGGCCTACTTTTTCTCCAATAATGATACTTTTTTTGTAAAGAGATAACCCAAACATTTGTCATCATAATAGCAAATTATTTGTCGTTGCTACATAAAAGGTTGGGTAACGAATGTAGTTTTAGCTCACCTTTTTTAGTCGCTCCTTGTACGACCGTGATACGGTCGCATGCGGAGCACATGTTCTAGCAGGGTGAATACCATGTTCAGTGCTGCAGTTGCATTGTTGCGTCTCACTACCACCTAGTGGCTCAGTGTACTGTACTACGCTTGAAAATGAGTGCAGACTAAAACGAAATCAGCAATTACTATACTATAAAAACAAATCATATACAGTATGCCATTTTTGTAATAACAATTCTTAAAATGTTGACCTTTGACCTCATTTTTTGAAGTAATGAATTGGTCATGAGGGTCCTTTTATATTATTTTCTCAGTTGTTGTATTGTTCTGTGCATTTTGACACCAAAATCAACCATATATCATAGTGTTTCCAAGATACATATTTTAGTGTTTTCGGTTGGGTCAATGACCTTTAACTCAAAAAAAGTAATTTCCCCACGCTCCTATCACCCTAACTTTGTTTTGGTGTATCCTGGTATGCATTCCTACATAAGTAAGTTGAAATATTATTCATTGTAATATTTTAACATGATATATGCCAATTTAGTGACTAAAAAATACCATTTTTGACATTTTGAACTTTGACCTAAATTTTTAAGGTCATGAAATGATATGAGGGCTTTCAATATTATTTTCTTATTTGCTATATAATTATGTGCAGTTTGACACCAAGATCAACCATATACTATAGAGTGTTCGGGAGATGCATTTTTTAGTATTTTAGACAGGGGTTTTGACCCCTCATAAACAAATTTTCCCCACCTTAAGAACTTAAAAGTCATTAAAAGACACCTCAGAAGTTGGGAAAGCTCACTTCCCGCCATCTAGGAATCAATTTTTTCCCCTTTCTCTTTGGGGTTCATTGATTCATGGAATCGTTTTCAAACAGGGAAAACCTTGAATTTTGAGGAACTTAAAAGTCATTAAAAGACACCTCAAAAGTTGGGAAAGCTCATTTCCCGCCATCTAGGAATCAAAATTTTCCCGGGGAAAACCCCCATCCCCCACCCCCTTTCATTTTGGCCTTATCGATTTATGGAAAAAAGAATACGCATGCAACTACTGGTTTTTTTTCATGTATGTATACACTCAGAAAAGGCCTATTTACTGTAATAAGAATAAGAACAATTTACTGATTTTAAGAG